AGATGAAGCTGTTGTAAGGTATGCTCGCTTTTCTCCAACACTACAGCCTGAGAAACACTACCAAAGTGTGCTCCAGCTATTTCTGCCTTATTATTCTGATGACCAGTTAAAACCTTCTAATTTCACAACTTTCCAAGAATTTTACAATACAGGATCCATTACAAATAGCAGTAATAACACACAGTCAGTGAAAGGGTTGGTAGATTTCAACAGGTCTAGATTTGAACATAAAGCTGAAGAGTTACAAAACTGTACAGAAGCTGTGAAAAACTTAGAATTTCAAGAAGATATATGGGCAAATTTATGTCCTGAGTCAGAATTGGAAAGACTGGAATGTTTACAAGAAAAGATTTTAAACAATAATCCTGTAGAAAAAGAAGTCATCCCAGATCTACAACTGCAAGGAAAACCACATCTGTCATTTGGTTTTCAAAAACAGAAAATTACACATTACGAAGCACAGTCACTTATGCGTTCATTAAATGAACTGCAGTCAAAAGTGTTTTACAAAATACGCCAGTGGTGCCTGGATAAAGTTAATGGTATAGACCCAACCCCATTTCATGTTTTCATTTCTGGTGGAGCAGGCACAGGAAAGTCACATTTAATAAAAGCAATATATTTCGAGGCAAGCAGAATTTTAGCAAGAATGTCTAACTATCCAGATGACATTCACATCTTACTAACTGCTCCAACTGGTGTAGCTGCTTTAAATATTAATGCAGCAACAATACACAACAGCTTTKCAATTGGCAATAACATCTCACTACCATACCAACCGTTAAGGGAAGAAAAAGTAAACACCTTAAGAACCAGTCTGAAAAATTTGCAGATATTAGTCATAGATGAAATCTCGATGGTTGATCACAAATTATTAACATACATCCACGGCAGACTGCGCCAAATAAAACAGTGYTCTGATTTTTCTCCCTTTGGTAAAGTTTCAGTCATTGCTGTTGGAGATTTCTATCAGTTACCACCGGTGAAAGGTTGTCCTCTTTACAAAGAACWAACTGGCTTTAATTTATGGCAAAGTACTTTCAGTCATACAGAGTTGACAGAAATTGTGCGTCAAAAACAACAAGACTTTGCTGTGACTCTTAATCGAATTAGAAAACATAAAAAAGGAGATCCACTTCATCCACAAGATGAACAGTTACTGAAAAGATGTGAGACAGATATGTGTAATGATTCTGAAGTATTGCACATTTTTGCAACCAACAATGATGTGGACACTCATAACTTTAACATGTTGCATAAAATATGTACTGACAKAGTGCAAATTAAGGCACAAGACTTTGAAAAAAATCTTCAAACAGGTCGCYGCAYTAAAATGGTTACAACACAACTACTCAATCAGAAAACATATTTACAACGATTATTAAGTATTGCTCCAGGAGCTCGTGTTATGCTCATCAAAAACACAGACATTTCAGATGGTCTTGTTAATGGTGTGTTTGGCACTGTTTGTAATATTAAATTTCAGGACAATGTTGATTTTCCACAAATAATATATGTCAATTTTGATGACAAAGAAATTGGTAAAAAATTGAGACAGAAATTTACCTGTTCTGACCCACAACTTTCTAATGCAACACGAATAGTTCCTGATGAAGACCAGATTGCAAACAGTAGAATCATTAGACGCCAATTTCCATTGCGTCTTTCATGGGCTTGCACAATACATAAAGTTCAAGGTTTAACATTGGACAAAGCAGTGGTTTCATTTAAAAAGATTTTCGCAGCCGGCCAAGCCTATGTAGCTTTAAGTCGAGTAAAATCTTTGGAAAATCTAATTATTGATGACTTTMAAACCACAGGTATATATGCAAGATCTGATGTGGAAGAAAATTTAACATTACTGCAAAATTTCATTGAAACTCCATYAACAACACCTGATTTCAACCTAAAACTCTGTCTTTTCAACATCCAAGGTCTACAGCCTCATATAGATGATTTGAGACACGATCAGAGGATACTGGATGCTGATGTTATTTGTTTAACAGAAACATGGTTGCAAGACAGCACATCACTTGACAGTGTAGCAATACCAGGTTGGACATTGCATCATAAAACCAGAGCAAAGAGCTACAGAAATACCAGTACTTTTTCAAGTTTAAAAAATACAAACCATGGGGGTGTTGGAATTTACCTAAAAAAACAACATTGCCTGTAAATTTATGGATCTTAACTTTGAAAACTTAGAAGCCATCATTTTCAACATTCAACCTTTGAATCATAATTACGTAGTACTATACAGACCACCATCATACAAAATTTGCCAATTTAAGGAAAACCTGAAAACTGTTTTGACAACTTTACACAACTTTCCTGGACCCAAAATTATCATGGGTGATTTTAATGATGATGCCCTTATTTCTAATTCATTTTTGAACTTCATGCAACTACAAGGATACACTCAAATGGTAAGCTGCCCAACAACAGATAATGGGACATTAATTGATCATATTTACATTAAAGATATAGATCCAGCTTTTGTAAATGTGAAAATTATGTCTACTTATTATAGCTACCATGAATGTATTTTTGTGAGCTTTCTGAACATGTGAAATACTTCAAGTAACATCATTCCATTCATACTCACCAGTTCTGATTAAACCTCTTACTGTAACCAAAGGAGCCAGGAAGTACAAATTTATGTTTTCCATATTATGTTTAATAACTTACATAATATACAACTACTAAACAGACTTGCAAAACTAACTGACAAAACTTGCTTCATTACTCTCGATTAGAAAATGTAGTTTTCATTTTTCAATTTATTTGAAAAAATGTGATGGAACACTTTTATTGTAACATACTTTTAGCCCAAACATTGATTTAAACCACAGGAAACACAATTGTTATGTGAATTAAATGTTTTCAGTGACTTTTATTATTTCCTGTTGTGGAGAGAACTTGACTATAGATAACAAGTTATAGAGAAAACACTGGAACAACAAAAACAGCAATAGTTAGTCGATATGGATGATGAACCAAAAACCTTGCCAACATAGAACCACCACCAGAAAAAATAATCTAAAAACAGGAGACCCTGTAGGTAATAAAAATGCAATACTCTCTTTTGACTCTTGAAAATTGTACTGAATGWTTTTTTTTAACTTAGTCTGTGCACCTTATGGGTCTTGCTTGCTGAGGTGAAAAATATATCTGATCTAATCTTCTTTTTGTTGTATTAGCTCTCTATAGAGCATCTGGAACTACTCAGGATTTTTTTGCCTTTTTTCTCCAACAAAGTGTAAACAATATTTTACCCACTGGACTGCACTGAAAATACATTATTTTTAATGATGTAATCACACTGAATCAGATGCAGGACTTTATCTCTATTTAAGTATTTGTGATACCAAGTTGTTTTCTTATTTTCATTTTAGTTTGAGCTTGTTTTTTAAATGTCTATGTAGAATGAAAATTACATTGTTTTTAAAACAGGGTTTCTTTGTACTTTCCTTTTTGAATTTATCATTACTACTATGTTTCTATCTATCAATAACAAAAAGTTGTATTGTATTCTGACTGAATCAGATGAACGACTTATAAGTATTTGTGATGCCAAGTTGCTTTTTTATTTGAATTTTAGTTTGAGCTTCCTTTTCTAAAACTTATATGTACAATGAAAATTACATTGTTTTTATATCAGGACTTTTGGGTACTTTTCTTGTTGGCTTTATCACTACTACTATGTATCTATCTATCTGTAACAAAAAAATTGTATTATATTCAGAGTGAATTAGATACAGAACTTTACCTCTGTTTAAGTATTTGTAAGTATTTGTGATACCAAGTTGTTTTCTSATTTGAATTTCAGTTTGAGCTTCTTTATTTAAAAYGCCTATGTACAATGAAAATTACATTGTTTTTGTATCAGGACTCTGTACTTTTTTTGAACTTTATCGTTACTACTATGTATCTTATCTATCTATAACTAAAATAAAAACATTGTATTGTATTCATATTCCTAACACCAGCTGGTTAAGGCAGATGACCATTCATCCTAAGCCTAGTTCTGATGGAGGTTCCTTCCTATTTAAAGG